GGTGGTTTCTCCTTTCGTCTGGGATTTTTGTGTGGCCCTGTGATTTGATCCTGGTTAGCTTATCTTGCTGAATTACTGCTGAAAATTAACTCTGTAACTACCAAGTGCGTATGCTGAATGCTATTGCACTGTGTATCAATGCATACAGCTGTATTATTCCCCAAAGTTCCTTTCTTGGTGATGTAGCTCCACCGAAAAATCAGTACCTTCCACTACCCTTTTCCCAAGAAAAAAAATGAAATAAATCCAGAACAAAATGCTGGTCTTTTATTAAGAAAGAAAAAACTCCTACTTTTTTATTATTTTGAAGTATAAGAACAGTATTACAAACTCAGTTTCAATTTCTTTAAAACCTCTCATAAGCAAAACAGCATAAAAGTCCAGTAAAAAAAGAGTATTCAGCCAACTACCTGCCAGCCACCATGGGTCAAATACAACCGAAGGCACCTCTGTATTCAGAGATGATTATGTCCTGCTCAAGAAAAAAAAAACTAATTTCACAGTAGCTTAACAGATGTTTCCCATATCCTTAACACAGAAAATAAAGAAGAAAAGAAAATGAAAGGATGCTTTTGAACTTTTTTCTGTGCAGAGGGACACTTCATCTCATCAACCAAACTCAACAGGCGTGCTAGTGCCACCCTCAGAAACAGCACACAGCTACCTGAGGAGTCATCTTCTAGCAGCTTTCCACATAGTTTTTTTGAATTCCCATCCACCTGCAAGTTGCCCAAGGCTGTTGGACTCCAGCAAGCTCAGCCTGGCCACCAGGAATGAAAATAAGGGAATAGACCTGGCTGCCACTAATTGACTTTCCTGAGCTTTTGCTTTTGAAAGAAACAAGAGCAGGACAACTCTTGCTGCTTCTCCTGTAATGAAAGGACACTGTAGAGAGGTTGGTGCTGGTCTCTTCTCACAGGTAATTAGTGACAGAACGAGAGGGAATGGCTTCAAGCTCCAACAGGGTAGGTTTAGATTGAACATTGGGAAAGAATTTTTCACAGAGAGAGTGGTCGGGCATTGGAACAGGCTGCCCAGGGAGGTGGTGGAGTCCCCATCCCTGGCTGTGTTTAAGGGCCGTTTAGATGCAGTGCTGAGGGACATGGTGTAGGGGAGGACTTTGTAGAGTAGGGGTGATGGTTGGACTCGATGATCCCAAGGGTCTCTTCCAACCTAGACGATTCTATGATTCTATGATTCTAATGGATTTCTTATGCCAGGCAATCTGGGTGAAGGAGAAGCTCTCAGCAATGTTGCCACTGCTGGTTAACCAGCTGAGTTCAGCAGCACCACGAAGCTATAAACATCCCTTCTGTACTGATGGAGCTGTAGAGGCAGATTCCTTCTTCCACTGCGTTCCTTAAGCCAGGGCTGAGGAACTTCAGGAGGAAAGCATCTCCTCTTCACAAGGCAAAGTAAGCACCCAGCAAACACAAAAATGGGGAAGAAAGAAGGCAGCTAGAGAAATTATTTCTCCTGTTCCTGCTGCTGAAAGCCAAGGGGAGCACAGCTGGCTGCTCTCTCCGTCCAGCGTACTCCTGCACACCAGTGGTCACCATGGCCAGTGCTGACCGAGGAGGGGGAGCCCTTAGTGAGCCTGGCTTGGCACTGCAGACACATATGGCCAGCTACTCTTGGAATTGTCATCAGAGACTCTTCTTCATAGAGAGGAGACCTAAAAATCAGAGTCCAGGGGTTCAACACCAGCTATAACGCCCAGAAATGATGTTTGACTTCTGCATGGTATCTGTCATACTTCTTATTTTAGAATTGGAAACACGCAAGTAAAGTAATAAATGTAGCTCCCATGGTCATAAAATGTTAATGTTATAATGATCTTTATTGTGTATAAAAGAGTAGAAAGAGCTTCATCTATACAGAAAACAATGACTGCCAGCAAGAGACACTGTTTTTGTGTGAAACCTCAGTTACCGGTGCGGTTGCCACTGGTTGTCTACTGGCAAGGCAAGTTTGATTCAGGAGACCAAATCAGGCTCCTGCTAACACCAAGGGCAAATTGGACTTTCAGTGCAAAAGGATGGGATTTGACACAGGACATTCAGAAAGAGAGAGGGAGAAGTTAAAACTATAGTGATTTTCACTGTATAAAAAAGTAGAAGGAGCTGAAACTGTAGTAACCAGCAGTACTGCGAGCATATGGGCAAGGGTCTTTCTCACTGGTAACCCCCACTGTGGTTTCCCTCTGCCTTCTCCTCCAAACCATTTCTAGACAGCATTTCTCTTCCTTTCTGTGTTTTTTCCACTGTATCCCACATGCAACACTTTTTCCTACTCAATGCTGAATAATCTTAGCACAATATCTAGTCTAAACCAATCAGAAAATTTGATGTTCTCTGCCCAAAATTAGACTCGACCCTTTCAGTTGAGGCAGAGATGAGTATATTTTTGTTTTCTCTTGTTGCAGCTCTACTTTGCTGGGTAGTATTTATAAAGAGTAACTACTCCATATGAAATTTTTAAAATGCATTTTGTGGCCTTTCCCTGGCAATGGAGCTTTAATTTTAAGGCAAGGTTGGGAGTATTTATGATTCAAGGTACAAAACAACATGTATGGGATTTATCACAAAATGGTCATGTGGAACCTGGAAAGCTGGCAAGGATTAGAGTTCTTCCAGTAGCATTTATGGACAGTGGTTCAGGGACTTTGAAACTCTTGCTATATTTCTGTGAGTCCTTTCAGATAGCTCTCTAGGTTTTTTTTAACATATTCAGAAATCTTAAAATTTTTGTAAGGTGGATTGCCTTCTGAAAGAACACTATCCCTTATCCAGTGCAAAGCATTGTCTCACATGGATGTCATGGACCTTTTGCCGAAGAGACACTCTTACACCACCAAAAAAGGAGAGAATGGAGTTATTTTCCAACAGGAGAGCACAAATCCATGGCAGATCTCACTTTTGCTTTCTTCTTCTCTTTAAAATCTGGAGTAGAAAAGTGAAAATTGGCAGTCTAATCTCAACTACAGGTACAATTGCTGTTCAAGACAATAGAAGTACATATGTTTACCTTAGAAATATTTCATAATACAAATGGCAAATAACACTTATTTCCCTTCATCTTCTATATAAAATACATCTGCTGACTCTGGCATCTTCTGGATGTGCTGTCTGAGGCATAACAATTCTTATTTTACCATTTCTGTTTTGTGCAGTGCGAATGTTTACAGTTCTGCTGAAATATGTAGATAATGCAAGAGTGAGTCTAATAGCAAAAATGCAATTTTTAAGAGAAAAGTACATAAAGTGATATGATGCAGGAGATAAGTGTTTTTCAGAGAATAATGTCCTCGCAGTAGAAGGTGGACAAATAATGCAGAGTAGAGAATGAATGCATGTCTCTTCAAAACAGTACAAGCTCTCTTCTGACATGCAAGCAATTCAATAAGGAGGGAAAAGGCTAGAATTGAATTTAGATGATGCAAATGAAATTAAAGCTAAATTGGTTGTCACATCATGATGATGTTAACTATGTAAATGTTTGCTATTTATTAAGCCACCACTTAGAATTTAGACTGTCATAAAAATATAAGACTCTCTTGTTGTACATTTAGGATACAAACTGTGTTTAAAAGAGCATATATATGGATTATTCCCCCCTTTCATACCTTTGAGAATTAAATTTGAAATATCTTCTTTCTTTTTTTCCAGTATTTTTCTGTAATTGTAGCTCGCATATACTGCAGTTTCAGGCTACTAAAAAATCAAAACAAACAAAAAAAACCCCAAACCACCAGGCTTTTCTAGCTAAGCAGTATCCCATTACATCATTGCTTCAGATGCATTCATTCTCTACAATATTGTTGGCTGTTTCAGGTTAACTACCAAAATCGTTTGCCTGAGAAGCAAGATTTAATTGTCTTACAACTACCTCTGTGAAGTACAATAGGGATTACAAGTACTCATTGATTATACTATTGGGCAGAATAAGGGACTCTTATTCTAGCATTTCTTATTCATTTTGTCATTGCATTCTCTTTGAAAGAGACCAAATGGGTCCCAGCAGGTGAAAGCAAAGAAACCTGAAAGGCCTCCTTTGATGAATGACAATACTACAACTGCCCTCCCCCCACTTTTGGAGATTATAAAACCTTATTAAATCATGCCCCGTTAGATATTGATTGAGAAGGAGCTAAACTAAAACCAACAATAGCAGCATGGATCAGAGAACAGTGCTTTCATCAATGGACAGTGAACACAGTTAAGCTTTCCAGTCCTTTTGCTGTGTTGGGTTTGGTTATCTTTTTTTGGTTTTGTTTTTTTTTTTTTTGTTGGGTTTTTTTTTTCATAAAGCCTCCTTGCTTTTGCTTAAACCATTATACAAGAAAGTCATACAATTATAGCAGCTTTGTCAATCACAGATAGCCAGTAGCAGTCCCTGTAGTACTCGTGATTCATCTTTCAGACTGTCACAAGAAATCCCAACAACAACTTTAAAGTTAAGACTCTCGGGTTTTTTCATTTTGATTTTTTTTTTTTTTTACTGTTCTGAGCAATTATCGCAACTGCCACTGACTTCAGGATGCCCTTAATTATTACAAGGGTAGCTTTGAACAATCTGTCTGAATGGAACAAATGAAACCATTTGGTAAAGGCTGCTTCTGGAAAGCAACGAAAAAACACACTGTTTTTAAAATTCATATTTTATTTCAGGCTACTTTTATTACTCACCTGCCATGTCATCCATTTATGAAACCCACTACAAAAATTTCCTTAATGTCAGTGATCGTTGTATAACTTGAATCTGCCTGCTTTTAAGGAGACCTCTTTAATAGGTCTGTGTGTTAACTGTCACTGATTTATTTATATTTAAAGCATCATGCCTTTCAGACCATTGTAGGAAATGATGAAACATGAATAAGCACACTTTTAATCCTACAAGTGTGTTTCTTCTGATAACAGAGAATCTTGGGCCAGCCTCTGAAGAATTTATTTGTTTTAAATATTTTGCTTGGGATTTAATTTCCCTTTTTTTCCTGCCAGGGGTCTACAGTTGTTCCTGGTCATATCAGAAGATTCCTGAACCAAGGACATTGCTTAAAGGAATAAAAATAGAATAACGATGAAAACAATCTGTTTATAAACAGCATCACTGTTCTATGTAATAGGTAATACCTAATTCAATAAACTGTGTAAAAATTTTGCTTTTGAATTAATTTTGACTGAAGAATCAAATAATCAGCTAGATCATAATGATTTAAATACTAATGTTATTATTCATCACTATCAAAGAAATGCAGCATTGCTGTTTATTATTAATAGTCTTATTTGAGGGAGTTGCACTATTCTGCATGAAAAGCCTCTTTTCACAACCAAACATGTATTTCTGGAATAGCTGAAATTGTTATAGAATTTCTGAACCTACCATTCAGAGCTAAAAATTGTTTTGATACTTGTAAAATAAAATTAGAGGATTAAAAATAATGTGTTCATACTATGAACATAGGAAATAAAACAGTTTGTATGTCTGAAAATGTGATATATTTCACTAGTGCTGTGAAAGCCTCTGAAGAAAATCCTGGGGAAAAAAAGATAAAACAGCACAGAATAATAGAAGAATTATGGTTTTGAAAAGGATATAAAGAAATGAATTAATTATATTATAATCCTATATTTATGTTCATATTCATTTTTGATTGATTTACACTATCCTTATCCTAATAGCTGCTTTGCTGCCTTTTAATATTTTCCATTTGTTTACCTTCTCCATGTCAAGTCCATCAGGATTATCCTGTGATTTCATACTGTAACTTGCATTAATCTAAAACATTAATAAAAACTTATTACAATCCTCCCCTACTAAGCTAACTGCACATTCTTGTGTCTAAAAATTACAGAGGTTAATTGCTATTTAAATTGAAACTAAAGTACCAAGTTTTACAGCTACCTGTTTGGTGGTTTGTTGGGTTTTGTTGTTGTTTTTTTATACAATTGTTAATGGCAAATTTTATAATGGTAAAATCCGTATGTAACACACAGATGAGATTTGAAACAGTCATATTGTGAAAATTTCAGCTAAGCTTAAGAGTACAACGTCTTGAACAAGTTTTATAAATACAGCTTGCCAGTTACAGAGCTTTAAATTTTTATATGCTGCTCAGGATGAATAATTTACTGGCTGAAATCTATGGCTAATTGTATTTTCATTTAATTTGACTTTTCAAGCACAAATGTTACATCCTAGTTTTATACTAATGATTACCCATTTCTAGGCATATCTGTGCTGTCAGGAAGAACATCTAACATCATTCTTTTGGTTGTAGTGAAATCTGGTAACTCAACCATCAGCACCTGCTTCACAAAGTCTGTTTTCCTTAAAAAGCTCTATGAAAATATTATCTAATGGCTCAGGATGTTACAAGATTTTTCCTGGCTTATATTCTCTGCTCTCTAGGTAGCAATTCTTTGAATTCTGTTTCAGAAAGCAATACATAGGCACAGGTATATGAGTGCAAATTACTTGATGGTAAACTACACCAATGCATTGTATTTCCATCTATCTTCTAACAGTTGTTGGCAAAATTTGTAATTTTAAGCATAGGAAGTACTTTTAGTTATCTGTTAATTTTTCCTCTCATGTTGCATTTTAACAGTGTCCTTTAAAACCAATCAATTTAAAATAGCCTAGCTCTAAGGAAGAAGCTGCGCTTGAAAATTTCCAAGCTGAATTATTTGTTGTTTTTTTTTAAAATCTTATATTTTGAAAAGTTTGCCATGCACTTAAGGTAACGATAACATAATGGAAGCAGTATTTTGATGTCAGTCATTCACTTTAACATGTCAATGGTGTTTAAGTTTCAGTGCTCTCAGGCAACCTGGGCAAGAGTGGGCTGGAGTTCATTGTCTAATTACACAAACCCAAGAATTGTCATGCCCTATTACATTACCGTAACATCTATTTTTATTTATTAGCTGAATTTATCAATTAGGTGATGTTGCTGCTTCAGCCAACATGAGATGAGAGAAAAAGTATATGAGTTCAGGTATTTATGCTGTTTAAATATGTATTTGAAGTTGCTGTAAAATGCAGGCTATCAAAGTAGGAAGTGTGTTTCTGGATCTTAAATATATTCACTAAATTGTTTTAATGGCATTCATGGAATTCATAGAAATTTTTAAAGCTGCCTGCAATTACTTTATTGCACACTTTCTAGCTAGTAAGAATTGCTTTATATGATCATTTCCATTTTTAGGTATATCTGCAGAAGGACATACATGCAGACCTACACATGTACAGAAATACGTGTGCATTGTTTACGCATCAGAGTTTAATCAAACAGCTTTCATCAGAGGTGATCTGCTGAAGAGGTAAACCTTTAGGAGGATTCTCATCATGAATTTTTACAGATTGAGGGTTTGGTTAGGCTCTCTTTATGCTCCATGGAGGAAAACAGGTCTCTCCAGACAGCCTCATGACATGCTCTGGGAGAGGACTAAACATCTCAGGGTGTTGGTTACCAAATGCTGGTGGTTGAGCTCCTCTCCTTCCCTTTCCCTTTCCACTTTCAGGATGAAGGATGCTCATCTTACCTTCCTAAATTCACCTCCAGCACTCTGCCAGCCTCCCATCAGTGTTTTGTATGCCAGCCCCTCCACGGAGCAGACACCCACCCAACACATGCCAACAGTTGCCGTCTCAGGGACCAGGAGTTGTTTTTCTTTGAAATCTGCCTAGATGTTCAATCTAACAAACATTACATGTTCATACCTCACCGTCCTGCAGGGTTGGGCTGATTACCAGGTTCATCAGACATTTCTCCAGGCACCGTAGTCCTCTCAGGACGTGGTGTTGCCAGTGCCCTGTGCTCCTATACAACACACTGCAATTTGATTTGTATAGCTAAAAGTGAACAAAAAAAAATTGGCTTATCTCATCCGGATTCAGAAGGCAGGCTTCTTTAATGTTCCCTAGAGAACCAAATGCTAAACTTATGCTAAAGTAAAAGCCATGAAATGTTAAGTTACCAACACCAGCTTTAATTTGGACACATTAAAAGAACAGAGCCCATATAATGAGTATATGCCTTTTCAGGTATAACAACTCTTTTGCTTAGACTTTCAGTCAGTGGAGATGGAGAAACCTTTGTTCAGTTGCAGTGGGAAGTGTAACTTCAGCTTCCAGCTCCTGTGTTTAAATTCTGAACTATACCATCCTATTAGCATAATTTCCACATTTAATTTTCCCTATTAAAGAAATGATATGAAGTTGATTACACTTCTATAAACACACATTCAAAAGTGCCTGTTCAATTTTCATCTCCAGCATCGCATTAATGTTTTTCACATTTCTTATTTTTATTCCCCCTCTAAATTTCTTCGAGTCCCCTTTCCATGAATATTGGTGACAATGAAGCATTTATCAGCTGCTCTTGTTTGCTGAATAGATGGTTGTTTCAGCCAAGGAACTCAATTTTCATACATTACAATTACTTAGGATTGTTACTAATGTATGATAATGTAAGGAAAGTGGAGACATGTTCGATATTTTAGGAAGAGTCATTTAATATCATTAAGTTACAGTATCTTCACTCTGTACAAATCCCATAAAACTATTGCTGACTGAGTATTTGAATGCCAGAGAATGAAAAAATTTTCCAAGCTTGTTCTATATTGCTTCTAGGTACTATACATACTTGTGTTTATTATGTTTGCATGTATGGTTGCCTACATCTCTGTTTCTGCACTTGTACCATCTCCATTGTTCATAGAAGTTACAGTAAAATCTTCAATGTCTCCAATTTCAGGTCAGTAGCACATCCAAAATTAATCAAGGAATAGCTTTTAAATGAACTCTAACCCTTTACTGGACGCCTGTAAAAGTCCAGACGTGATACTCCATCGGACAGAGCTAATATACTAAATATGCAAAACAACTCAGAGGCACAAGAGGGATTTCAACATATGAGTTTACAGAGATAGGACTTGGAGGGTGGGATGTGTTTTGGTTTGAAATTGCACTAAACTGATGAAGAACTGGATTTGCAGTGTGTGGTTTTCCCAGGTGGTGGCATCTTTTATTCCTGTTGAAATCCATAGCAGTTAAGAAACTTCAAGCCTCTTGCAGACCTTTAGTGTCACCTCAGCTCTGTGAAGCCAGAGTTGATATAAGACAAACAGCAAGAGTTAAGAAGTCTCTCTTGGCTCGGCTTATTAAAGCAGGATGAGACTGGACAGAAGAGCAGAAATAGCCTAATACCTCCGGGAAGTTGAATTAAGTTATCTATTAACAATGTGCAGTTAGAGTCACCTGTAAAAGCTGACAATGTTTTGCTTGGTGAGGTGAGTGAATCATATGACCACGAATTTTTAAGAATTCTTTTTGGGTGAGTAAAAGGCATTAAAGAAAGGCCTGCTCAAAGTTTCAGATATCAGCACATGTACTTAAAAAACCGTCTTACTGATATATGGAAAAAACACAATTTATTTCCACTAAAAGAATAAACAAAATTATTCCCACAGCTACTCCCAGCCCTTGCTGCACAAAGTCTTTTTCTCAGAAAGCTCAATCCTGACCACCTGCAAGTGAAAATCTGCTTTTTTAGTAAGAGATATCTGCCTTTCCTATGACACACCAGAAGTGGAAAGGGGGCTGGCACACTGTTATTACTTACTGTTTCCAGGCAGGGACTGATGGTGACACCAGTTGAGAAGGTGGAACAAGGCCTCCTTCTTGAAGCAGACATTACTGAGCTTTGAACTGGTAAACTGGAGAGGCAAGGATGCTAAAATTACTGTTTTGGAAGGAGTCCCACCACTGATGTGGTACTTGGGAACTTGCTGCACCTTTCTAGTTCTCAATAAGCCACATGCACATTCAGGTGTAAGGTTGCTGCATTTTTTGATTGTACATCTTTCTATATCATATTTAAGTGGCAGAAGAAAAAATATTTAAATATTTTCATCTATTTTTTCCCTTTCTTTAGCTTGTCTGTTTCTAAGTGCATTTACAAGAGACTCTTCTCTGGGTACCGCTTATGTTTTGAGGACTGCTCCCATCTACTTCCTTGTAACAAAAAGGGTCTGCTGTCTATTACTAAAATATCACCTGAAAATTAAAACTATCATAATGCTTTGGTAATTTAAAATGATTAGGTTTAAAATCATAGATGCATGCCAAGAGGAAAAGTGTATCACTTAACCATGAGTGAAAGCGGAA